CATAACAAATCGATGTTTTTTCCGCTACTAGCACATGTTTTCACGCTTTATAGAACATGAGTTTATCTGCTCTATCGCACATAAGTTTTTTTGCTATATAGCACATGGATTTTTTGCCATCTAGCACATCATGAATCGGATTTTTCATTGTATAACACATGATTTTCTGCCACTTTGGCACATCATAATCACTTATTTCTTCACTTTATAGAACACGAGTATTTTTTGCTACACTAGCACATCACAATTTTAATCAAGGCTTTATCGTTGTTTTCATCGTTGCATAGCACACATTATTGTTTCCAATTTTATGCTTTCCCACCTCATGGTAAATAGCTTACGTTAGTCCAAGAGATCATCCGTACTTATTAGAAAGTTCACTATTGCCAAAATTAAATAGACATCATAAATTGAATTACTTTTGTCATTGTTTTTTATTTGTTCTCTATGTTTTTCTTTATGACAAATGTACCCTAACTATGAAGGTTCTTGGGAGGGGTCACTTTGCTAAGAACAAAATGGCCTGTACATGATGGAACGATGCTGCACAGGAACCTTTCCATTCACCTTAATCCTCATTCCTTGTCTTGTCCCTCTTGTAAGCTTACCCTTTGCAAAAATCTCTGTGTGATTCTTTTTAGACTTTGTTATTTCGTAGTTTCCTATCTCAAAAGAAAGAAGGGCATCTGTTAACACTCGATTTTTGCTCATATACCGCCTAAATCCCTTACTTACCTAGAACACCCGATCAGACCCTTTCGATCCTTCTGAAATGCTTAAAAACCTAAGAAACCTGAATTTTACCTTGAGAGCCCCCAAATCCATCGTTAAACCCATATGATACCAATCCAACAACCTTGATCAACCCCCATTTACACCTCAATCCTCATATCAGACGCCACCATTAAAATCAAGACCTCTTAAAATACCTACCCAACAAATTTCAACTTAAAATTCCTTTGTGTACCCTTCCATCAAACAAGATTCTATTCCAACGTCTCTCATTAGCCTACACACTTGGGACCTAGATTCCCTTCATCTTAACACAACTGATCAGATCACACCATTAAACTCTGGATACACCAAAACACCTACCCATAAAGTTTTAACCCAAGATTCCCCCGTCTACCCTTCCATCAAACTAAAATTTCATTCCAGATCCCCTCGCTGACCCAAAGTTCTACAATCTTAACCTCCTAAACCAATCAGACATTACTACCAGATCCTAGATACCCCCAAATACCCACATGTAAAATTGTAGCTCAAAATACTTATTTTTACCCTTCCATTACACCAAGATTCCATTTCGAGGCTCTAGATTGACCCAACCAAGCCCTTTCTAGAACTATCCAATCTATGCCTATTTGGCACAATCTAACCCCACCAATCAACTCAGAATGTCCAAAAACCTAACCTTGCCAAATTCCAGTAAAAAAATGCCCCTGTTTACCCATCCATCTAGAAATATTCTTTTTCGACCAATCACATTGATTCGCACATGTAAAACCCTTCTATGCACTCATACCCATCTAAACCTTGACATTTTGGCCCAAAAGTCTCAGCCATTCACACATGAACCCTGGTTTGACCCCTTAGACCAGTTGAACCAAAGTTACACTTGGTTTAGCAAAAGTACCTAATCGCTCTTTAAACCCCTAAAAATTACAGAATTGCCATTATAACCTAATACTTAAGCCTGCTTTCTTTCATTTGAAGGAGTGAGAGACTATTCTTCACCATTGAGCTCTCGAGATAGCGAACTAGTGGCGGTAGTGAGAAGGGGTCGGGTCTCTTTCTCTCATTCTCTATCTTTCTCCCCTTTCTTCCTCTTCTTTTTCCCCCTTTCTTTTCTTCTTCTTCCTCCAATCCCCCAGAAACTACTATTCTCAACTATTCCTCCCCTTCCTCTTGGCGGTAGCAGCCATTGTCCAAGTGTTTCCTTTAGGCCGGAGCCATACCGAAATTGATTGCAGCAATGGTTGTTCTCAAGGCCGAAGCCATCCCCAACAAAGACAGAACAACCACAATGACCATTGTCCAAGATATTAGACTAAGATCTCCCTTGTTGCATTATTCTAACCAAGGCTTAAAATTTCGTAACTTATCGGTCCATATCGGCCAATAAATTGCATTTCGTTGAAGATCTGATACACAAAACATACAAAATCTGTATGTTTCATGTATTTTTGTTAGTATCAGTTCGATATGAGCCCGTATTGTTTCGGGTTTGTATCAGATACAATCCCAATATAGTCCATTTAATAGCATGCTATTAAAGGCAAATTGAATAGTGCATTTAAGGCAATGTTTAAATTCGAATTTGAATTTGACATGCTACTAACTTGCCTATTAAAAATCACAAATAGAGGACCAAGGGATTTGAACCCTAGTCATTTGTTTATAATGACTATAACTCCACCATTATGCCATACCACAAGTGTTTGTCATATAAATTTATATTTTAATTCTTAATTACATTCGTTTGTTAGTGGATGATTACCAATAAAAGCTAAAATGCATCATTAAAATATATAATAAATATCATTGTTTGAGAACCGGGCTGGACATCAACCCAAAAAAGGGAGAGGTTCATAGGTTAGAGGTTCAACCGAGGTCAAATTGTGATGACGTAATATTATATATATATATATTATTATATTATATATATTGGATTCTAATATATTCAAATTATATAATTGTATTTTTTATTTTAATTTCAATTTTTTTATAAGGCGCCTATATAAAAAAGTTACCCAAAATACAAACAAAGGTCACCACAATAGGACATCTAAGCAAAAAGTTATGGCTTTTAGAAATTTGCATTAATGTGCTAAAGCAATTTAAAAAATCAATTGTTTTTCTAAAACCATGACTGATTCACTAATTTTCAAGTTTGACTAGTCAGGTCAGCAATTTTGGCAAAATTTTCATTTCCAACCGATCCAATAGGCCAATCAGTCCTATTTTCTAAAAGATGGTAAATATTAATACAAATTATATTGATTCTTTAAATACTATGGTATGTATGCATACACAAACATTTTAATTCTTTCATCATTTTTCAACAATTTCCAATTATGTTTCAATATTTCACACTTTATATAAATCATTGAAATATGGATTTTTATGTTTAAATAGCTTATTTATAGTGATATAAAACTCATATTTATTATAATTAACATAGGTTTTTAGGATTTATATGAGTTTTTTAGCGTATCCATACGTGTCTTAATTTTTCGTCCATATCCATGCATATTTTAAGCATATCTCGATACGTCTCTTAAAATTCTCTCTCCGATACACATTGCATTTCCGATACTTTAAACATTGATTCTAACACAGGCTGAAATCCCACCCAGAACTGGTGACGAATCTTTTTGCCAAATTAAGTTGTGTAAAATCTTAGCCTAGGTAAACCCATCCTCCCGCCCTTGCTTAGGTTTGCTTCTTTCTTTTTTTTATCCTCTTTGTTTTCCAGAGTGAGTTGATTGCAATTTGAGGAAGGGGAGGAGAGCTGACGGAGCTGGTTCAGACAGCTCAGTGACCTCACCACATCCCCCTCATTTGATTTGCTCATGGATTCGATTCGAATATGATCATGTGTGGGTTGAATCTTGTTCCTCCGAGCTTTTCATTTTTTATACTCTGATATTAAACTCCATTCTCTTCGACCATATTTTCTCAGAAGATTATTTAAATATAAATTCATTACTTCTTAATTACTTACCATTTATGTCGTGTTCTGAACTTATTATTCTATCATGTGATCTGTTTTGTTAGTGGTCGATCAATAGTTTACATCGTGCTCTTCTTTCAATTTTGGGTTAAAGTAGCTCCCTGGTTTAGTTTTTTCTTTTTAAAACTATGCAAAGAAGCGTTGTTTTATTTTGGATTGTTTGCTTTTACTGTAACTGGAGTCAGAGAAGGTAACCGATTTGAACTCTCCAGTGAACATGAGGTTTTTTATTCTGTAGCAAATAGGAAAAGAAATAGGCAAATAAATAAGACAACAAATAGAATAAAAGGATAAAAAATCAATAAAGAAATGAAAAGGAGATAGAATAGGAGGTATCAGGCTCTTTGCAGTTTGGTAGAATGAAAAGGAAGGGAGGTCGGTTGTAGAGAGTAATGCAACTTTGAAAAAAAAAAAATGAAATAAAGCAAAAATAACAAAATAAATAAATAAGTATCCTAATGATAATAATAGGATCCTTTTATGACTAGCATAGCAATTAAAAGGATATTGGCAACTTGCCTAGATTTAGTAGATTTAGAGAAAAAGAGTAGGTTGGTGAATAATTGATAATCATTGATCAAATTTAAAGAAATATATATATATGTGTGTATGTATGTATGTAATTAAGAATAAAAAAATAAAATAAAAAGCATAAAAGGAAAAAATGCATACAAAAGAAATATGGAGGAATTTCTTTATGATGATTTATTCTTTGTTTGTTTTCTTTTAGTTAGTTTATTATTTTGTTTGGATAGTTGCCTTTTAGTTTTGTGCCTATTTGGAATATTCATGTAGGCCCCACCTATTGGACCCAAGAGAAGAATGCTAACCCCTTCCCTCTCCCATCCGATTAGTGTAGTCATGCCTCAGGCTTTAGAATCACTATTGAAACAAAAAACAGTTTTGAAAATCATTCTCGGAAGTCTCATCACCTTCATTTTATTAACTAATGGGTGGGTTTTCCAACGCTCACACCAATATAGTAGCACTTTAAATAAATACATACAACTCAAAATCCAGCTCAACTGTTTTAGCGTACCACACATCCAATGCACCGATAGGATACACCTCATACCAATGTCTGATATGGAATGTATTATATCAATGTTTTAAACCTTACCTAATACATGATATATCTCGCATGATATGCACCCATATGTTGCATATTTTGAAGATTTCTCAATGTATTCTTAATGCATTACAATCTAGATCCAACCATGAGATGGTGCATGAATTAATAGTATGTTACCACTTACCAGCAAAATAGGGAAAATAAGGAGACTGAAGAGCAATGGTATGATACAAACTCAAAATCAGGAGACCTAGAGCCAGTAGCACGTGGTTGAAACATTTGATTAGTACAACACTCCTTGTAAACAATGAGCTCACCACAACAGTTCCTACAATCTAACCAATGAACATCAATTCTAATAACTTACAGAAATGCATGCTTCTTATACAACCTTGCATCTATCAGGCTAGTGTACACTAAATAATACAATAGGGTACATACAAGAGACGATTTTGCATTATTTCCCCCTTCCCCTGCCTCTCCGATTGTATCTCCCAATTCTCTTTCTCTGCTGCCTCTCAACCTTGCTGTTGGTTCTCCGTTCTGGATTGTGGTTTACAGTTACTTGAGGTTGACTCTGTAATGACTCGTCATATTGCCTAGTTGAACTGTTCCAAGACCCACTAGCAAAGCTATCGGTTTCTTCAGCAATTGGCACCTCCATTGAAGCTTCACTCAAAAGCTCACAGGGCTCCTCAACAGGGATGTTATCCAACTTGTCATGACTTAAATCAATTGGGTTTGAACCTCCTTCATCAGAAGGTCTCAAGTTGTAATCTGCATGCAATCCTACAGACCAACTGAACAAACACCACCATGATCTGCTTAGAACAAGTTACATAATGCAGGAAAGGTAATGATCCTGTAGAAAGATCATTGCCGTTGCCTGCCAAGAAGATACTGACCAAAAAAATGGTGTGAGATGCCTTTACAGGAAGGGTCACCTTGATGCTGGAGAACCGTTGGCAGTAAACCTGTCTCCCAATCCATTTGCTTCTTTCTGTGTTTCATGATTTCCATCCTGTGATCTTGAATCTGCAAATACACTCAGAAATCAGAAATGACAAACTTTATTAAGGTAAATGCTGTGAAACAAATGTATAAAAGATGTTCTTTCATTCCGTGTTTTCTGTTATTGATATCTGATAGAACTTATTAAAAAGAAGGTATGAGACAAATTTGAAAAAAAGCATCCACTTGTGCACAACTGAGATCCATCCACACCATCCTGCAATACATGAATACCAATTTCTAGAAGGAAGATCAAGAGACCTAAAGGGACTAGGTGTCAGTGAGGCAGCCCAATACATGATCTCTAACAAGGGTTTGTTCATATGATTATTATGGCAGGGAAAGAAGCTTATCTCTTACCCAACAGTCGTGACAGTAACCATTTTTAGTTCTTTTTCTACCATTCCATATATCTTCTATTTCTTTCTTAATATGGCCACTTATTTGAAAATTTTTTGATAAGGTTACTAACAAAGCTTCTACTCTTATTTCTGTTGTGATTAGAAAATCCTTTCTAGCAGAACAAAGGAAAGAAGAAAAGTAAATACTAGGGCTACCAGTCCTCATATTTACATGTCATGGGAAAACAGAAAATTACAATAACAACCCACCTAATAACAGTAAAAAGACTAGACTTCCCATTAAATTAGTACTAATTATACAAAAGAAAAACCCACTCTAATTTTGATCTGCTTTGTATCAGTCTCAAAATTCCCCCCAAGCTGAGCATGGATATTAATCATGCCTAGCTTGCCCATCCAACAATTTTGATTTCAACATTAATGATATCAGCTACTCTTTTTCTTTTTCTTTTCCTTTCCTTTTTTTTTTCAAAAAAAAAAAAAGATGCTCTTCAAGTGCACCCAGGTGCATAAAGCAAGGTGTCATTTAATGCATGTGCCTCACTTGAATCTAGGTGACACCACTTCCAAAGGGTGCACTCCCGAGGCACAGGCAACCCAGGCTTGCCCCCCTTTTTAAGCTGATATCCAAGTATTTGTTTTTTGTTTTTTTTTTTTTTTTTGTATATCCTTATATATTTTACAGCTTTATAAACGTCTATTAAGTTTCAAACAATCCTTTATTGTTGCTTGTGTGCTAATAACGATATATTAACTTTTAAAAGAAACAAGAACAAAGGCCTTTTGAATACCTAAATCCTTAGTTGTTTCTTATAGGATGTCAGCTAACAAAATTGCCACTGACGAAGCAACAAGAGTTCAACTAGTCTCTAACACCCCAAACAAAATTCCAAGCAAAGACCTTTTGCTTTTTTCCCTTTTTCTTTATTTTGGAGAGAGAGAGAGACACATCACTTATTTTGCTGCCTACCAGCTCTATGCCTCCATAGACCATAAAGGTCCAACCTCATAGGATTATGAAAATAGACACCTAACATCACATTGGTTACCTAAAGTGATACAACTTGGAGAAGCAATTACATCAACAGTTTCATAGGCTTGAATTGTCAAATGCTTGAAGCACTTGGTATGATCCACATCTATGTCAGGTATGCATATTATTTTCTTTATTTATTCATTCATTGAAGCAATGAACCATTGAAACAAAGGTTTTGCCCATCTTCCTCTCTCTTCATCTTTCTAATGATTTGTTCTATGGCTGTTAAGAAATTTTAAACTCTGATTATTGGATGATCACATTGTGTCATTATAGATGATCATATACTTTTTATTTGATAGAATATACATTTGCATCTGCTTCGACAAGACCCCCCTTTCAACTAATGTTATGCATCTTTATTTTTCTTAATATAAAATATTTTTATTAAAAATAAAGAAAAAATGAGATCCCCCCTTCCTCCTATAATATTTTTCTTACGCCTCCATGTGTTCGGGAGGCTTACGCCTCTAGCATTTTGAACTATGCCTCATGCCTCTAGGTAGTGGAACGCCTCACGTCACACCTCTGTTTTAAAACATTGAAACCTCTTTAGTCAAATCTCTATTTAAGAAGGCATCTTTAACATCAAACTGATATAATGGTCAGTCATAATGCCAAGGACAACAAAACTCTCACTGAAGTTGCCCCCAACAGAGTCTCCATAGACCCTCCTGGACCAATCCGGAATCTATGGAGTGTTTCATCTCACCTCCAGTTTGCTCCAGTGGCCAAACGGAGACAAAAAAAAAATCAAAACAAGGTGTTACTAGTCAAGGCTTATTATCCTAAGGCCAAAACTACTCTTCAAACAGCCAAATTAGGAATTTCACCGGGCTTGACAAAATGGGAGAAAGGGAGAAGAAAAAGGGGAAGAAGATGGAAGAGAAGAAAAAGATTGCACTTGCAATAATCTACAAAAAAATAGGAAAAATAGAAGAGAAGAAAAAGATTGCAAAAGTTGGAAGAGATAGAAGTAATGGAGGAAGAAGATGGAAGAAAAGGGAAGGAATAAGAGAGTAGTTCAATCCCTCTATCCAGCCTCCAAAGATATCTTTTATTCTTTAATTGTAATCTGAGTCTAATTAATAGGGTGGCCAGCATTAAAACAATAATAAAAAGGGTAAAATACAAAAAACTCCCTTGAAGTTTCTATCAATCATAAAAACCTCCCCTATAGTTTCATTTTAATAAATACCTCCCCTAAACTCAGTGTTTTAAAAGTGCAAGGGCCAATTTGCACCTGAAGCAAGAAGCACAAGGCAAGGTGCAAAAATGCAAAAAATTGTCAAAAAATAAAAAAAAAATCCAAAAAATTCAAAAACTGCAAAAAAAAAAATATTAAACATAATATTAATAAGAAATATAAACTTAAGTTTTAAAATTAATGGTTTAAAAACCTATTATCTAAAATTAAAATACATAAACATAACATGTAAATCATATTTAAATGAAAATTTAAAAATAAAATCAAACATATAAAACATTTTCAAGCATGTAATGCCTACAATCCCTTTTTTCCTCAATTGCATTACTTCAAGTAGCTAATGTGATGTAAAACATATTACATTCCTAATTCTATGAGTCGCCTTTGTGCCATGCCCCACGAGGCAAGCCCAAACAAGTCCATGTTCGGGTCTTAAATTCTTAATTATCACACAAAAAATAATGATTTTATAATTTTAATTGCCTTTTAAGAAGATGTTTTATTAAGATGAATGAATGAACATTAGCAAATAGTGGAGAATTATTTTTTGTGTGAGAATTAAGAATTTAAGACCCAAACATGGACTTGTTTGGGCTTGCCTTAAGGGGCGTGGTCGGGGGTCCGGGGCTCCACCCCCGGACCCAGCCGCTAGGTTCAAAAAAAGTAAAAAAACGTACAATTTTCAAAAGGCACACGCCTAGGTGCACCAGGCGTACGCCTTTTGAAAGTGTTGCGCCTAGGACTTGGGCGAGGCGCCTACCCAAAAATGCACCTCGCCTGTGCACCTAGGCGCGCCTTTTAAATCATTGCCTGAACTTTTGAGAAACTAGACAAAAACCTTCCTATCACCTTCCCAAACAGAAAATGTTAGATTGATGCGCCAGTTTTTTCCAGATACACATTCTACCCTTTTATAAATTATTTTACATATAGAGTTACTATAATAACCCTATTTTAACTTGACAAAAACATCCTTTAACGTCATCTTCTAACATTTTTGTTGAGTTAAAATAGGGTTATTTCAGTAATTTTGTATCTAAAATAATTTATAAAAGGGTAGAATGAATATTTGGAAAAAAGTGATGCATCAGTCTAACGTTTTCCGTCTGGGAAGGTGACAGAAGGGAGGTTTTTCTTGAGTTTCTCAAAAGTTTAGGGAAGGTATTTGTTAAAGTGAAACTATAGGGGAGGTTTTTATAATTGTCAAAAACTTTAGGGGAGTCTTGTATTTTACCCTGATAAAAAATGCAAAAAACAGGCCCATAACTAAGGCCCACTACTCAAAAACATAAAACATAAACATAACTGAATAAAAAGAAAGAAACTAAGGCCCTTTCGGGCCATCATTTCTATAGTGTTGATGGAGGAAAAGTGTTCAAGGTGAATACAGATCCATGGCCCATAGTGTCTCAAAATTGTTGTGGCTTCAATCATTGTTGGAGGACTTGGCATTGTAGCAAAGAAACCTATGAACTTGTATTTTGATAACTAGGCTGCAATTTATGTAGTCCACAATCCTGTCCAACATGATACAAACCATATTTAGATGGATAGACATTTTATTAGGGAAAGGATCACCTCATGAGAAGTTTGCTTGCCTAATGTTTCACCTACATTGTAGTTAGAAGATGTTCTCACCAAGGGAACCACTAGAAACAAGCTTGAGCATGATTTACACAAGTTGGGAATGATCGACATCATAGTTGTCTAGGCAGGTGCCTAGGCAACAAGTTGCCCTTGGAGGCTCACCTTACCCAGCCGCCAACTGCTGGGTAATCAACACAAACATCGCTAACTGCTGTATTGAACCCTCAAAAGACTTCAAAATCTGAACCAATAAGGGAGGAACTCAAAATCTGAACCCTCAAAGACTTATTCTTCTTCTTCTTCTTCCACCTTTTCTTTTCTTCTTTTCCTATAACAAAAATAGGGGTTCAGCCCCTACATTTTTTGAATTTTCTTTTCTTTCTTCTTTTTCTTCTCATAAATATGTTGATTTTTTAGACTTAAACATGAATTTTATGGATAGTTATTAAGGAAAGATGATTATGGGACTTAGGGAACTACCCTGGGATATGTGGTTTTTACTTAAAAAAATCCATTGCCTAGGCAACTAGGCAACAAGGCGCTCCCTTGTTGCCTAGCCTTGCCTTGGTGCCTTGAAAACTATGATTGATATCTATTCCCAACTTTAGGGGGGAGTGTTAACAACTATTTTTATTATGTTTTTTCTATTGGGTCAGACAACTCTTTATTTCATTTTTAGTGGTTCTAGTTATTGTCAGTCCGTGAGAAGGTGAAAGAGCAAGAGATGCGATAGAGGTTCAGATCTGTTAGGGTTGATCAATCTGATCAAACCAACCCAAAAAAGAGATATTTATATTAATCTTGGGTAAATGGACAAGATTGTCCTTACAAA